GCGATTGGCAATCGTCAAAAACAAAAGCATGATTTCGGTTTATTAAACCCGATTCAGACGAGTACGCAAGAAAACGTACGAACTAGGAACCGTAAGCACAATACTAGACCACTCAACTTTACCCCAAACTTGATCATCACCAATGCGTTTTTCAAACGAAATTGCCGCACACCAAATGTTTTTGAATTGACAAAGACGACCTGGATTCACAAACTTGTCCCACAAGATCAAGAGTTTCCCACGGTAGTTAGCTATCTCAACACAACCGCCAGGACCAATTCCTGTTCAACACGGACAAACCTCTAACCACTCTCCATTTGTTACTCTTTGTGTCATACCACTTGCAACTTTCTTTATCAAAACCATACCATGTATTCCCTAACACACACGCCAATATTCTTTTTGCTACAACATCCCATTTACCTTGTTTCGGATCATAAACATAGTCCTTCTCCTCGTTGTTGCCTACAAGGTAAAGCTTTCCTTGATTCACATCTAATTCCTTGATTACGGACAAACAAGACACGGCACGGAGCATTGCATTTGCGGAATCTGTATTTTTCTGAACCAACCGTAACAATGAACGCTGGTACGCAAGGAAAATATGAAGATGGTGACGGTACCAACAAAACATTTCCGGTGAATTTTGCTCTCTTCACGATTGCGTTGGTTAGGGTTTTATCAGGTTTTATCCAGAGGCTGAACCAAGTGGGAGGATGAGTATTGGACAACTGTAAGCGGACATGAAAGAAGCCCTCGTAGGTTTTGTAGTGAATCAATCGTGCCATAGTGAGCTCAGTGGATAAGATGAGAGAGCGAAATTTCTTGCATGAGTTTGGGGTAGTACGATCTCGATATGCGGGCTAAGCAGTTCACAATAAGTTCATCTGGAAGCGATGAAAACGACCACGACCGAGATGGATTCGTTTTCGTCTTCTTTTTCTGCGGTGGTTCCACTTCGGAGTTCATAGCAAAAGTAGGAGGACGTTTTGTAAAACAAGAGTAGCTAGGTCTTTGTAAAAGAAGCAAAGTACGTCTACGACTAAGATTGAGACTTGGAATCAGAGCAGTTCTAATCTACTTTGCTCGAATTTGATAGATGTAGTTTACTCTGATTCATCCTAAAATAATTGAGAGACCATATTAGACTTTCATATCGGCTGTTTACTTCTGGTTAAATACACGACTAGGGTTTTAACTTAACACCAACTAGTGAGATAAGTTTTTGTTTAAATATATTTACGAGGCTTAGCACATAGTTTATCAGCCCATAATTTAATTAACAATTTCACTGGGAGCATAGAACACTTCCATAAGTAGAAACCCAATGAGTCTTTTAACCAAAATAATAAATAAAAATTAAAAAAAAATTGGAAAAATAAGAGAGATGGGTATCTCAAACGAAAACCCCCTGAAAAACTCTCATTACACTTGGAGGGTTTTATGTTATCCATTTCCTTTTAA